GAAAGTTTTTTTTGTCTCATTGAATTTCAAATTTGATGGTGTTGATAAACCGGCAATTGTCTTTACTTTATTCGCTTGGTTGTGTGGTGAAGGAAAAGAAGTTTACATTATTATCTTTCATTTTCTTTTATTTTCATGGCATTGATCAAAATTTTCTTGTTTGGTTTTTTATTGAAATTGTCCCTCTGTTCTTTGAACTTGGTAGTTCCTTTCTTCAGGGTAGGAATTAAACTACAGCAAGAACTGACCGTTATTTAAAAAAAAAAAAAAAGAAAAGAAAAGAAAGGGAATATTACATTTTTCTGGTCAGGAGAAGAAAAATCTTCAATTGCATTTAGGAACTAAACCTAGTTGACTTGAATTCTTCATATGTTGTTAGAAAATAGGCCATGAATTTATTTTTAATAGATGAATAGAATATTGTTATTCATAGTGTTAAATCTATCAAAATATCATCTTTTTAATTCATACTTTGTCTTGCATTAGGTTTTGTTTGAGGAACTTTCTTGACAACAACCGGAAGTGGTTATCTTCTGGGAGAGAAGATGGAATCAGAAGGAAAGGAAGGAAAGGAAAGGAAGACCGTGGTGACACAGGTTAGTTTTGGTGGATTTGGCGGTGACGTCAGTGCACAAGAACTTGTGGATTACCTGGAAAATGAAGGATTGGGTGTTTGGCGCTGTAGGCTGAAGACTTCTTGGACACCTCCAGAGTCTTATCCTGACTTTCAGATTTCAGACACTGGAAAAATCCAAAGAACAGATGACTTTAGGAGGGTGGAGCCCCATGCATTTGTTCATTTTGCTGCACCACAGTCAGTAACTTGGGCTTTGGAAGCTGCAGGTCGCTGTGAGCTTTTCTTAAACAATAAACCGTTGAAGGTCAGCCTGGGTCCTGAAAATCCATTTAGCATGAATCAAAGGGGGAGAGACACATATCCCATTAAGTTATCTGATGTGCAACTTGAGATAGGAACTCTGGTCAGCGAGAATCAGTTCCTCATTGGTTGGAAAGGACCACTTTCTGGAGTTGATTTTCTAGTGGATCCTTTTGATGGCAGATGTAGATTTTGTTTCTCTAGAGATACGGCCTTCTCTTTCAAGAACTTGAATGAGCATGCTGTGGTGAAATGTGATTTCAAAGTGGAGTTCTTCATCCGTGATATTAATGAGATGAATCATTATTCAGATCCAACATGTATTGTGTTACTTTTGCAACTGGCTTCAGCACCTTGGATCTGGTATAGAACTGCTGATGATGATATTGAAGAACTAGTTCCCTTCGATTTGTTGGACGATGATGATCCATGGATCCGGACCACAGACTTTACACCTAGTGGGGCTGTTGGTCGGTGTAATATTTACAGAGTTTTGATCTCTCCTCGTCATGGTGCAAAATTGAGGAAGGCTGTTGAATACCTAAAAGGGCAAAGGGTGAAGGATGGCCACATCACTGTGCCACTAAAGGTCAGGAATGAACCTGAATTTGGGATTCTCATGTCGGATCCTTTCTTCAGCACCAGCGAGGTTGGGATACCTTTTGAGACAATGTTTTTGGTTAATGCTGTAATGCACAAAGGCATATTCAACCAGCACCAGTTATCTGAGAGCTTCTTTGACCTCCTTAGAAACCAATCGAAGGAGGTCAATTCAGCTGCTCTGAAGCACATCTATTCCTGCAAATACCCAGTGTTTGATGCCTCTAGGAGACTGCAGATGGTCCAGGAATGGCTGCTGAGAAATCCTAAGCTTTTTAAAAGCCCTAAACAGCCGGATAACGTTGTGGAAGTTAGAAGGTTGGCAATTACTCCAACTAAAGCTTATTGTCTTCCACCAGAAGCTGAGATGTCCAACAGGGTTCTAAGAAAATATAAAGAAGTTGCTGATCGGTTTTTGAGGGTTGCCTTTATGGATGAAGGGATGCAGACAATGAATGCCAATGTTTTGACGTACTATGTTGCCCCGATTGTGAGGGATCTGACTTCAAACTTTTTTCCTCAGAAAACTCGAGTCTTTGACAGAGTAAAGTCTATTCTGTCCAATGGGTTTTATGTGTGTGGTCGGCAATACACTTTCCTTGCTTTCTCATCCAATCAATTGAGAGACCGCTCTGCATGGTTTTTCGCTGAAGATGGCAAGGTAACTGTGCAAGGAATCAAAACTTGGATGGGAAAATTTAATAACAAAAATATTGCAAAATGTGCTGCTAGGATGGGTCAGTGTTTCTCATCCACCTATGCAACAGTTGAAGTTCCATCAGCAGAGGTCACTGAGATCCCTGATATTCGGAGGAACGGTTATGTTTTCTCGGATGGGATTGGTACAATCACTCCTGATCTGGCTATGGAAGTAGCTGAGAAACTAAAGCTGGAAATCAGTCCCTGTGCATATCAGATTAGATATGCTGGATGCAAAGGTGTTGTGGCTTGTTGGCCTGCAAAAGGTGATGGCATCCGTCTGTCTTTAAGGCCCAGCATGAACAAGTTCCAGTCCAACCACACAACTTTGGAAATTTGTTCTTGGACTCGGTTTCAGCCAGGCTTTTTGAACAGACAAATTATTACATTGCTTTCAACGTTGGATGTTCCTGATGAAGTGTTTTGGAGAATGCAAACCTCCATGCTTTCCAAGTTAAATAAAATCCTCGTGGACATGGATGTGGCATTTGAAGTTCTCACCTCATCCTGTGCTGAACAAGGGAATACAGCAGCCATAATGCTCAGTGCTGGTTTCAAGCCTCAAGAAGAGCCTCATTTACGGGGGATGCTAACTTGTATAAGAGCAGGTCAACTTTGGGGTCTAAGGGAAAAGGCAAGGATTTTTGTTCCTTCAGGCAGGTGGTTGCTGGGCTGCTTGGATGAACTTGGGGTACTTGATCAAGGTCAATGTTTTATACAAGTCTCAGCTCCATCTCTGGAAAACTGCTTCTCAAAACATGGCTCAAGATTTTCTGAGGCAAAGAGCGATTTGCAAGTGATAAAAGGTTTTGTGGTTGTAGCTAAGAATCCTTGTCTTCACCCTGGAGATGTAAGGATATTAGAAGCTGTTGATGCCCCCGGATTGCATCATTTGTATGATTGCTTTGTGTTCCCACAGAATGGTGAAAGGCCCCATGCAAATGAAGCTTCTGGAAGTGATCTTGATGGGGACCTCTACTTTGTCACCTGGGATGAAAACCTCATCCCACCGAGTAAGCAGAGCTGTACACCCATGCAATATGATGCTGCAGATGTTAAAGAATTGAAACGTCCAGTGACTCAGCAGGTAAACTATTATTGACTGAATTTTAGTTTTGTGAAAACTGAAAATGTCATGTTGCCAATGTTTCCCCTCATCAAACATGTTACATAATTGTATTGAGTAGGCAGCTGCTTACTATATATCGATAGGGCAAAGTGTTTTGTAGGATGCCTTCCATGGAGGACATCTCCAAAAATATCATTTTAATTAATATTTTAAAAACCAACTCCAAAAATATCATATCTTGATTAATCTTTTCAAAAACGAACCATTAGGTTGAACATGCTTTTAATTTAGATCACACATGTCAATTTTCAAATTGAACGTTTAGATGCGACTCTATTGATGGTACCATTCAGAAGCATTTCTGGCATTATTTTGGAATATGCTTGCCTTGTCAGTGATATATCATTGTGTTACACAAGATTTTCCATATGGAGAAACAAGAGCAGATATATGTCAGTGTAATGGTAGTAATGGATAACAGAGGAAAAATATATTAGATAAGCAGAGCAAGTCAGAGTCTCTTGTTTATGATTTAAACTGTCTAGAATTCTGAGGAATATGGTGTCATTGATAAAATTTCTTACTGTTTTATTTTTGTGTTGATTCTGCAGGACCTCATTGACTTTTTTGTTAAAAACATGGTTAATGAGAGCTTGGGGACCATCTGCAATGCTCATGTTGTTCATGCAGATATGAGTGAGTATGGGGCATTAGACGAGAAGTGTATTAAACTTGCAGAGTTGGCAGCCACGGCTGTTGATTCTCCTAAGACTGGGAAGATGGTGACAATGCCTTCTGATCTAAGACCAAGACAGTATCCAGATTTTATGGGAAAAGAAGAGTACCAGTCATACAAATCAAACAAAATCTTGGGAAGACTATATCGCCATATCAAAGATGTGTACGAGGGAGATATTTCTGCACCTGCTGAGCTCGAGTTTGTTCCTGGCAACATCCCATATGACAAAGACCTTGAGGTTCCAGGATCTGCTGACTATGTCGCTGATGCATGGGAGAAGAAGTGTTCCTATGATGGACAAATGAATGGCTTACTGGGGCAATATAAAGTGAAAAGGGAAGAAGAGATAGTAACCGGGCACGTGTGGTCCATGCCCATGTACGCCAGTAGGAAGCAAGGGGACCTGAAAGAGAGGCTCAAGCATTCTTACAATGCTATGAAGAAAGAATTCAGACAGCTGTTTGAAAATCTGGGCTCTGATTTTGAGCAACTTTCTGCCGATGAGAAAAACACATTGTACGAACGCAAGGCATCAGCCTGGTATCAGGTCGTTTACCATCCTGAATACGTGAACAAGTCACTAGCAATGCAGGAGTCAGGCGATGCTGGGAGTGTACTGACTTTAAGCTTTGCATGGATTGCAGCTGACTACCTTGCTCGGATCAAGATTAGGCGCCAGGGTACTGAAAATATTGACTTGAATAGGCCTGTCAACTCTCTGATGAGGTACCTAACTGATCGAATGGCTACTGTCTGAAGCCGCTTGGAGTCATTTTGCACGGTTGTATCTGGGTTCTAGGTGGCATGGCCACTCTGCCATAGTTGATATATCATATCTTCTCCCTGTTGTGTTTTCCTTTTGAACTGTCGGCTATAATTGCTATTTGCTACATCCTATGTTGATTGTTATGATTAAGCCCGTGCTTTGTTTGAATAATTGATTTTGTTTTCTAATTTTCATTTTTCTTGAAGTCTGGAGATTTGATTATGGTACTCAAATTTTGAGGCCCTGTAGGTGGTCAGGTTTTTTGTTTTTGTTTTTGTTTTTGCTTTGAGTTATGACCCTTGAACTAGTTCAAATTGTATTTTTATCATGTGATATACTAATTGCATAAGGGTCCAATTTGGTCCCTAACATCTCATTCTTTGCAATTAGGTTCCGGGATTTTCAAATTCATTCATTGTACTTTTCTGTTTAGTGGTTCCACTCTGGTAACAACGACCCCCCAAATGCCACAAGGGTCCTATATGGCATATGTGGGAACCACTTTTAACTATTGATAGAAACCATCCCCACCAGACCTCCCTTCCCTATCCGTACAATTGTAACATGGCTTTGACCCCCTAAAATTATATGAATCCTGTTCTCAGTTTATGATTCAAGAATGTCTTTTTCTACTTAAAAGAAAAAAGGGAAAAAAATTGAACTTGAGTAGCCAACAAAATCTACATCTATTCTGGAATTACATTGAAAACAGAAAAAAACAATTTTGATGATTTCATAAACATCATCTATTAAGAAGAGGAAACCAGCGTTCTTGGAAAGCGAAATTGTAAGACAACATAATAAGCAGAAACGCAAGCAACAACCCAACTCCCCATGGGGTCCCTCCAGCTCTATGGAGAGAGTCTTTTGCCGACTCCCCATGAGGAAAGGCTGATGATGCTCTGATTGTTGGAAAGTCTGTGAACAACCAACAGGAGTATCAGTGGTGACACCCTGAATATCAGCTTCACCCGCCCCACCACGCTCTCCACCACCGGCTCATAGTTCACGCACCATGAAAATCCCAGTAAGAAAACAATTATCAGGAGGAAGAAACATAGGCGGGGAGGAGGAAAAGGAGAAGACTGGTAATAGTTAGCCATGGCTCTGAATTTTGGGCAGATATATTGTTTGGTTAATTAATTGAGGGGTTACATATATATATATATATATATATATTCTAGAGGATATGTGGAAAAGAAACTGAAAAGGATTTAATTACCCTCTCTTTCTCGGCTAACTGGTTTAATTACTTAGAAAAGGGTTATTAACTTTATTTGCTTTTTGAGGAACTCTGGCAGTCCAGGAGGAAGATTGCATTTGTGGGTTGTTTTTTCTTTTTTCTTTTCTTTTTTTTTTTCCACAATGAAAAGCAAGTGTAATACATTTCTTATTTGACCCAGTTGTCTCTTATATGAATCCAATAAGAATTTTTAATTTCATAAAATAAAAAAACTTTTATCAATGCATTATAGAGTTTACTGCAATTCAAAAAATTAATATAGAATTTTTAGTGTAAAGTAACATTAACTATTAAATTAAATCAAATTAATTAATTTTTATTTTATAATATTTTATAATTTAATACAATTTAAATTATAAGAGTGTTTTTAGTATTTTCAGGAGGAAGTGATCACGTGAGCAAGTAGTGCTGCTTTTTAATTGCTTGCTTTAAACATTTTGCCTCTTTGGATGACAGTACTTTCCTTGTCATGCGAAGAATCTTGTATGTGCATGTGCTGGAAGCACAAACCTGTTGCTCTAAACAGCAATTGGCTTAGCTAATATACACTCAAAGCAATGTCATGTACAAATGTATTGACCTAACTTGAAATCTTGAACAATATTAACCGATCACACTCATGCATAAAGCATGATCCTGCTCTCTTCTTTTTTTTTTATGATTACATAAATAAAGCAAAATAGGAACTCATATGGATTTATGGTTAATTAAAATTCTGCATTAAATTATAACATCATGACTATTGAAAAAAAGGATTCATACTGAATTCAACTTATCAATATAAATTTATTTGAGTTTTCTATTTTATAATTTCAATTATATTAGACTAGAAATCAAGAATAGTTAGATGAGGAGATAATCTCTAATATTAATGAGTTTGATTTTATTTAATAATTTAAGTTGT